AAATTACTTAATGAGTACAATGTATATTATTCAGGTGATGGGTACCCTAAAAGCCCAGACATGACCACTAACCAATATATCTATGTAACAAAATTGCATTTATGCTTTTTAAATGTTTTATAAATAAATAATAATTTTAAAAATATCTGCTCTCATGGAACCCATACATTATCAAATCATTTTTGATTATTTAAAACCATCAAATGCTGAAACTATAGAGCAAATACAATCAAATTTAAATATAGGTGGGCTACATAATAATAATATTTAAACTACCACTTATGGAGTGTTAACATATTCCAAGAAGTATATTATAAAACTACACTATTTAATCTCTCCAGAAATCCAGTGTGACAATTATTATTATTATCCTCTCTTAACAAATGAGAAAAATGAAACTCAAAATAGCCAGTTTTGTATTCTGTTTCCAATAAACCTATCATTTGCAAAGGTAATCGGCCCTAAATGTAGACTCCTTAAGAAGGCATTTTCATCATTTGTCTAAGATTATAAAGTTCACCACCATTGGCCAGTGGAAGAGGGAAACTAGCTAGTGAAAAATTGTGTTAAGAGAGGAGGAAAAGATTAAAATGATCTGAATGGAGATCAAAGGTCAGCTATTTGCTGTGAAGTGTAATTTTTCACATGATTTCTCCCCGTCTCTGCTTAGGGTCCAGAGAGCAGCTCAGTGAAGCTCAATTTGAACTTAACTGCCATGACACTGTACCATCTGGGTTTCTTCCTGACTTTGACTATTCATCATTTTCCTTCACTAGCTTCTCAGCTTCCTCTTATCCAAGTTTCTGTCTTCATCCATTTCTTCTTTATTACTTTCTTACCTATTGTGTTGACCCAATAGTGCTTTACGAATCTATTTCTCCAGCTCTGAGATTTCAATCTGCATCTACAAACTTCCATGACTTTTCAAACTCAAAAGGATTAAAACATAATTAATTTCTTTCATCCTGGCCCCTATATCTTCATTAATGTTAGCAGCCATGACTTAAGATCTCAATTTCATTTAAGTCTACATTCATTTATTCAAAAACATTTACTAAGAACCTGGCCAGGCATGGTGGCCCATACCCTGTAACCCCAGTAGTTTGGGAGGCCAAGGCAAGTGGATTGCTTAAGCTTGGGAGTTCAAGACCAGCCTGGAAAACATGACAAGACCCCATCTACACCACAAATAGAAAAAAAAAAATAGCCAGTCATGGTGGTGCACTCCTGTGGTCACAGCTACTTGGGAGACTGAGGTGGAAGGATTGCCTGAGTCTGGGGGGAAAAGTTTGCAATGAGCTGAGATCATGCCACTGCACTACAGCCTGGATGACACAGCAAGACCCAGTCACAAAAAAAAAAAAAAATTTACTGAGAACCTCCAAGGTGCCAGAAACTGGAGATAGAATGATAAACAATACAGAGACATTTTTGTTGAAGAAGTTAATAATTACTACACTGTACAATAAGTGACTATAAGTATTATAATAGAAGTGCTAAAGCAACAAAACTAATAGACACCTAACTTACCTCTAATTCCTTACACCCTTTATTACTCACAAAGATGCCAGGCACTGACTAAGATACTAGAGGCACAAAGCTAAAGAAGATACAATTAATTATTTCAACAACAGCAAAACAGCACATGGCCTAAGAGTGGAGAAAAATACCAAAACATAATTACTATCACTGTGAAAAGAGAGTGATAAAGTTTGGTTTTGTCTCCAATAAAAGCTTTACAAAAATATAATTTTTAGCTTATTTTATATTGTATAAAGATATTTTCTGTACAATTCTTTTAATTTTCATATTAAATTATTGGAGGAGGGGAGTGAAGCCACTTAAACATGTTGAAGGAAGAGCTTGCCAGGTGAATGGAAATTAGGGCAGGAGTAAAACATTCTCAGCTAGAGGAATTCTAGCACAGGGACTACCAGAAAGAGCTCATTATGTTGATAGTGCTAGTACTAGTTCTACATGGTCAGATCGAGGACAAAGAAGTGACAAAAGATGAGATTGGATGGTGTCATAGGCTTTTGCATTTGGCTGCAAAGAACAGGGTTCCTCTCACAATACTTATTCTTACATTTTTAGGGCTGCCTTAGTTTTCTGTGCCAGTTCTAATTGATATTTATTCTTGTATTGACTTCCTTTTTCCTTAAAGTAAGGAAACATGCCAGGCCAAGTTCTCAATAAATGTTTTCTTCCTTCCTTAAAAAAGGAAGTCAATGTAAGCATAAATATAAATTAGAACTGACACAGCAAAACCAGGCAGCCCTAAAGACCAGTCTCTGTTTCTTAACACATCCCTGCTTCTCTGCACTGTTCCCTCCCTGAGATGTGTTCTCTTTACTCACAATCCCTGTGTCCTTATAGCTGAGTCTGCACATGGCCCTTATTAATGTTCCAACCTCTATCTGGCTCCTCTCATCTCACAATGTTCACATTTTAGTTCCTGCTTCTAATAGGAGATCTCAATACTTCCTATTTCAAGTTACAAAAATAAAGAGAATTTTATAAACCTGGCTTATTTTCCTTCTTCTATAATCCTGTATAGCAAGTGGTTTACAGGGTCAATAGCCAAGAAATAACCCAAATAAGTGTGTTTATGTTTTATGTTACAAGAATAAAAGGTGATAACTAAGACAGGATAGTCCCTGGGAAGGAAAAAGATGTAGATATAAAATACACAGAGGAATTGATCATGTGACAAAGACATGACTATGGCTCCCTCTGAAATGACTTGGAATTTTTGAGTCATCACTGATCCTTGTAAGAGATTCAGTTGTGTGATGGGACAGTAAGCAGGATAAAATGGAAACTGAGAAGTGGAAAGAGAAAATCTAAACCAGCCTTCCTCACTATCTGGTGAGGAATGGAGAGAGGTAAGCTAGTAAAGAAAGCTTCAGGGGTACCCTAGGTTGAGAATGAGATTCTTTAATACATAAGATATCAATCAATATTATAGACTGAAAGAATACAGCCAGGGATTAGAAACAGAGAATAAAAGGTGATAACTAAGAGAAAAAAAGACACTAGGGACAGAGAAGATGTAGATATAAAACACAGGTGAAGAGACTGGTCTTACACAGGAAGAGAGAACAACAAGATATTTGTGAGTTTTATAGGTGTGGGACAAGAAAATGAAGAAGTTCTTTCATGTGATGGCCTAAATTATGTGAAATAGAAGGTGAGATCATTTTCTGATGGGTGTAGGTGGGAGCAAGTAAGGAAGAAGTGAGGAATAGATGTTAAAAAGACAGCCTTTGAGAAAAAATGGGAGGCAATGATTTAGCAGTGCTGATGCACCAGACAAACATAGACACTATAGTTCTCTAGTGTTGCTATCTTTACAGATTGTGACATTCTCCAGCAATGCTATCCAAAATTTACAAAGAACTAAAACAGATCTACAAGAAAAAAATAAACAAGCCCATTCAAAAGTGGGTGAAGGATATGAACAGACACTTTACAAAAGAAGACATACATGAGGCCAACAAACATATGAAAAAATGCTCAACATCACTGGTCATTAGAGAAATGCTAATCAAAACTACATTGAGATACCATCTCACGCCAGTTAGAATGGTGATCATTAAAAAACCTGGAGACAGCAGATGCTGGAGAGGATGTGGAGAAATAGGAACACTCTTACACTGTTGGTGGGAGTGTAAATTAGTTCAACCATTGTGGAAGACAAAAAATAGAAATTCCATTTGACCCAGCAATCCCATTACTGGATATATATTCAAACCTAAAATTCAATTTAAAAAAAAAAGTAGGACTATGGAAGGTAGTTTGCATAGAGTTGATCCAAAAGTTTAATGTTTCCAAAGGCAATATGGCAGAGACACAAGAAAGAGTTGACTGTTGTAGGAGAATGACCAGAGTCTTGCACCTTCCTAAAGCTTTTGTTTCAGGAAAACTGGTCTCCTGATGGTTGCTAGAATAGAACCTATGTTTTTCTTGACCTTGTTCATTTGCTTATGATATTATTTTAATTTGGCTTCCTCTTCCTCATTTCAACTCTGTTATTTTACCCTCATTTCAAATGCTATTTTCTCTACATGGCAATTAATCCTCTCTCTTTGATCAAAATTGAAATTTCCCTCCAAATTGCTATAATTTTTTACAATATTTATCAATTATTTCTTGAGTTGCTACCATCTACAAGCTACCATGCTTGTTATCAATAGAGTACAAAATCACTCCAATTTATATTGAGCCCTTACTCTACCTTAGTATGTCTAAACACTTTGCACAGATTATATATAATCCTATCTACCATTATATATGGTAAGAACTATTTCTAGAACAAGCTGAGGAGTTAGAAAACAGGCAGAGATAACCATAAGCAAGCCAGCTAGCATGCAACAGTGGAAGGACTGGCTCTAGGGGGTTCTAGCAATCAGACTCAAGTATCTTCATTTTAACCAACATACTATACTAGCTCCATAGGCTTTTTGTTGTATAGCTTTGTATTGTCATTTGAGAGTTATATCTTCCATTGGATTTCAGACTCATGTTAGAAGTATCTTAAATCTGTTTCTGTTTGTCCCTAGAAAGCAGTGTTGCATATAATAGTTACACAATTAACGGTTCAGAGTCTGGAATCTCACTGAATTCTTAGAATGACATAAGAAAGAATTTTCCCAGATAGTCCCACTGGAGTATTTACCTCCACTTGAAACTACATTCAGAGGTCGTCTTTTCTTGCACACACCAAGTTGATTTTGTCCATCCCTAAAACCTACAGGTTAGATAGCAAGGTTATCATTTTTGTAGTTTTTGTTGTTTTCTGATTTAATATTATTCTACTTTTCTTTGATTGCCCATGCATCCAGAATGAACAGGAAATTTTCTTTTCCTTATTTACCTAACTTATTTTCTCAGTAAAATATATGACTTATGACTTAAAATACATAGGATATCCTAATGTTTGAACTTTAAATGATCAAATTTAGAAACTTTGTTTTTTGCTTTTGTTATTATCTCCACAGCCCAGTGAGAGTCAAAGATTCCCTGGAAGACAGTATCTATCTGGCCAGCTGCCACCACTTCCACCTTACAGGCCAAGATGGCTTCCACCAAGTCCCCCACCTCCCTATGGCTCAAGACTTAATTCACCACTTTCTCTTCTCTTTGTTCGAGGGCGAGTTCCACCATCTTCTTTTCCTCAGTTTAGCCAAGCGGTCATTCTATCTCAACTCTTTCCATTGAAACCTATTGGACAACCTCGACTCTTTCCAGGTTATCCAAACCTACATTTCCCACTAAGACCTTACTATGTAGGACCTTTTAGGATATCAAAACCCCAATTTCCTCCTATTCCTTTTTATCTTGCTATTTACCTTCCCATCTCTAACCCTAAACCCCAAATAAATACCACCACCACAGATACAATAATCACCACAAATCCACCTACCACCACAACAGCAACCTCCAACACATCCACAAAACATACAATGACAGTCACCTCTTCAACAGTACCTATCTCTTCAATACCAGAGCCTGCTGCCTCCACATCAGCAGCAACCCCCACAGCACCTACTGAAAATACTACTCAAATTCTCACCAACCCGCCTCACACTGTATTGCTCAGTGCCACTGTCCAAGTTACAACTTCCAACCAAACTACATTCAGAAGCACAATGCCTAAAAGTTTTTGGCAAAAACTTTTTGACATTTTTGGTTGAAGATGCAAGAAATGATACTTTCCAAACTGCTCTGATATCTGAGAAGAAATAAACTGCGATGATTTTGATGGAACCAACCCTGACCTAACCAGCACACCAAATAAATAAAGTATTTGAGCAGTAATATGCACCTATTGCTGTCATTATGAATGACTACCACTCTAGCCTACATTTTGTCACTTATTAACACTTGATGAGTCAGGTTACCAGAAGGAAACAGAGGCCCTTTATGAGAAAAAAATGAATAAAGTGTGTACTTAAAGAGAATGAACAGGATTTTAAAAAGAATAGAGGTCTATAGAGACATTCAGGGTCTCCCAGTGGAGCTGGTCAGGGGCCTGTGTTTGATTAAGCAAAATGAACAGATAAAGAGCCCAGAGCCTGAAGAAGAGTTGGGACAATGAAGGAAAGGCCACTCAATAAGACCTGTTGTGCAAAGACGTGATTACTCCCAGGTGTGACTACCGCTTCTCATTAGCAGTCCACTCTTCTCTGCCTAGTTCTCAATCCCGGGAGGATAACCTTACAAACTCTTACATGTGGTTTTCTTACCTGGGGTGCAGGGGAGGGGAGGATTGGTTGGGTTCTGCTGATGAAATAGGTTGGGGGGAGAGGTACAAATCTTTTATATTTGGTATAAAATATTAAAATGGTACAACTGCATAGGTCCCTTGCCATGAATGGAGCTAAGCTAAGCTCGTAATAGTTACACAATTAATAGTCTCCTAATAGTTACACGATTAATGGTTCAGAGACTGGAGTCTCACTGAATTCTTAGAATGGAGTAAAAAATAATTTTCCCGGATAGTCCCATTGGAGTGCTTACCTCCACTTGAAACTACTTTCAAAGATGGAACTACTGCCTACTTCTTAGTTCTCTGATTTCTTAGAAGCTAAGCTCCATTTATTGCAAGGGACCTATATGGTTGTACCATTTTTTAGCTTTTATGCAAAATGGTACCCCTACCTCTTTCCTCCCCCTATTTTATCAGCAGAACCCAACCAAAATTGCATAGGTAAGGAAACCCACATGTAAGAGTCTGTATGATCATCCTCCCAGGATTGAGAATGAGGCAAAGAAGAGTGGACTGCTAATGAGGATTTATAAGCCCATAGGCTGACACCACAAGTAGCCTCAATTATCATCTTGAGACCAAATAAGTAGTCAAGGAAAAACATGAGGGTTCCTAACTTCCTGTACATAGAAAAGGCAGAGGCAGCATAAAAATAAATTATATCAGTTTTCTATTGCCTTTACCCAGGAAATTTACATATATATAAGGTCAACCAGATAACAAAAATATAAGTAAATAATAATATAAATTAAGAGAAAAGAAATAAAATAATTATCTACTTAAATTGAAATAATACCTAAGTATTCAAATATAGACACAAAATAAATATAAAACAAAAATCTTTTAAAACTTTAAAAGTGCTCTCTTAGCAGCAATAGCCTATAACTATAAAGCATTTAACACAGTCATGTGCCACAGTCAACAACAACTTTTCAGTCAATGACAGACCATATAGATGAAGGTGGTCCCATAAGATTATAATGAAGCTGAAAATACTTTATCACCTAGTGATGTTGTAATCATCTTGACGTCACAGCATAGCACATCACTCATGTGTTTCTGGTGATGCTAGTGTAAACAAAATCACTATGGTTTCACTTGTATAAAAGTAGAGCTCACATAATTAAGTACCGTGTGTAAGATTTAACAGTTATAATAAATAACTATGTTACCGGTTTAGGTATTTACTATACTACATAAATAATTATATTAGAGTCTACTCCTTATATTAAAGCAAGTTAACTATAAAACAGCCTCAGGCAGATCTTTCAAGAAGTATTCCGGAAGAAGGTATTGTTATCATAGATGACAGCTCCGTATGTGTTACTGCCTCTGAAGATCTTACATTGGGATAAGATGCAGAGATGGAAGACAGTGAGTGATATGGGTGATCCTAACTCTGTTAAGGCCAAGGCTACTGGGTATATTTGTGTCTTTGTTCTTTTTTCTTTAAGTTTAAACAGTTTAAAAAATTAGATAAAAAAGTATATAGAATAAGAATATAAGTAAAATATATAGAAAGATATAGATAGATAGATAGATAGATAGATAGATAGATAGATAGATAGATAGATGATAGATATAGATAGATTTTTTTTTTTTTTGAGATGAAGTCTCGCTCTTGTCCTCCAGGCTGGAGTGCAATGGTGCATCTCTGCTAACTGCAAACTCTCCCTCCTGGGTTCAAGCGATTCTCCTGCCTCAGACTCCTGAGTACTTAAAATTACAGGCTCCTGCCACCACACTCAGGTAATTTTTATATTTTTAGTAGACAAGATTCACCATGTTGGCCAGGCTAGTGTAAAATTCCTGACCTCAGGTGATCTGCCCACATTGGCCTCCCAAAATACTGGGATTACAGGCACAAGCCACCACCCCTGGCCTGAAATATTTTTGTATAGCTGTACAATGTGTTTCTATTTTTAAGATAAGTTGTATTAAAAAGAATTAAAAAGTTTAAGAAATGTATGCCATAATAAAGCTACAATAAGCTAAGTTTACACTATTATTGGAGAAAGAAAAATATGTTTTATAAATGTAGTGCAGCCTAAGTGTGCAGTGTTTATAAAGTATACAGTCATGTACTATCATGTCCTAGGCCTGCACATTCACTCTGCTCACTCACTCACTCACTCAGAGCAACCTCTGATTCCGCAAGCTCCATTCATGGCAATGGACCTATACATTTGTACCATTTTTTATCTTTTATACCAAATTTTTACTGTACTTTTTCTATGTTTAAATACACAAGTATATCCTGTTGTGTTATAATTGCCTACAGTATTCAGTACAATAACATGTGGTACAGCTTTGTAGCCTAGGCGCAATAGGCTATATGATACAGGTGTGTACCAGGCTATATCATCTAGGTTTGTGTAAGTGCAGCACTTAATTTCACACAACAAAATTGCCTAACAATGCATTTCTCACAAGGTGTCCCCACAGTTTAGCAACACATAATTGCAATATCTTAACACATTGATGGTTTATCCTTCAAAATCTCTTTCAAATTATGCAATCATTATATGTAATAATGGCATCATCTATATATTGATTTCTGGAGTGGAAAGTTCATTCTATCAATCTTAACAAATCTTTTTTTTATTATATTTGAAGTTCTGGGGTACATGTGCAGATCATGCAGATTGTTACATGAGTATACACATGCCATGGTGGTTTGCTGCATCCATCCTCCCGTCATCTACATTAGGTATTTCTCCTAATGTTATCCCACCCCAATCCCCATACCTCCTGCTATCAATCCCCTAGCCCCGCCCACCCCCCAACAGGCCCTGATGTGTGATGTTCCCCTCCCTATGTCCATGTGTTTTCATTGTTCAACACTCACTTATAAGTGAAAACATGTGGTATTTGGTTTTTTGTTCCTGTGTCAGTTTGCTGAGAATGATAGTTTCCAGTTTCATCCATGTCCCTGCAAAGGACATGAACTCATCCTTTTTATGGCTGCATAGTATTCCATGGTATATATGTGCCACATTCTCATTATCCAGTCTATTATTGATGAGCATTTGGGTTGAATACTGTCTTTGCTATTGTAAACAGTGCCACAATGAACATATGTGTGCATGTGTCTTTAGAGTAGAACAATTTATAATTTGTTGGGTATATACCCAGTAATGGGATTGCTGGGTCAAATGGTATTTGTATTTCTAGATCCTTGAGGAATCACCACACTGTCTTTCACAATGGTTGAACTAATTTACACTCCCACAAGCAGTGTAAAAGTGTTCCTATTTCTCCACATCCTCTCCAGCATCTGTTGTCTCCAGATTTTTTAGTGAATGCCATTCTAACTGGCATGAGATGGTATCTCAATGTGGATTTGATTTGCATTTCTCTAATGACCAATGATGATGAGCATTTTTCCATGTGTCTATTGCCTACATAAATGTCTTCTTTTGAAAAGTATCTGTTCAGATCCTTTGCCCACTTTTGGATGGGGTTGTTTGTTTTTTCTTGTAATTTTCCTTTGCTATGCAGAAGCTCTTACATTTAATTAGATCCCATTTGTCTATTTTGGCTTTTGTTGCCATTGCTTTTGGTGTTTTAGTCATGAAGTCCTTGCCTATGCCTATGTGCTGAATGGTATTGCCTAGGTTTTCTTTTAGCAGTTTTATGGTGTTAGGTCTTATGTTTACATCTTTAATCCATCTGGATTTTGTATAAGGTGTAAGGAAGGGGTCCAGTTTCAGTTTTGTGCATATGGCTAGCCAGTTTTCCTAACACCATTTATTAAATAGGGAACTCTTTCCCCCTTGCTTATTTTTATCAGGTCTGTTAAATATAAGATGGTTGTAGATGAGTGGCATTACTTCCGAGGCCTCTGTTCTGGTCCGTTGGTCTATAACTCTGTTTTGGTGCCAGTACCATGCTGTTTTGGTACCAGTACCATGCTGTTTTGATTACTGTAGCCTTGTAGTATAGTTTGACGTCAGGTGGCATGATGCCTTCAGCTTTGTTTTTGTTTTTCTGTTTTGTTTTGTTTTGTTTTTGCTTTGTATGGTCTTGGCTATGTGGGCTCCTTTTAGGTTCCATATGAAATTTAAGGGTTTTTTTTTCAGTTCTGTGAAGAAGATCAATGGTAGCTTGATGGGGATAGCATTGAATCTATAAATTGCTTTGGGCAATATAGTCATTTTCACAATATCGATTTTTCCTAATCATGAGCATGGAATATTTTTCCATCTGTTTGTGTCTTCTTTTATTTCCTTGAGCAGTGGTTTGTAGTTCTCTTTGAAAAGGTCCTTCACATCTGTTGTTAGTTGTATTCCTGGGTATTTTATTCTCTTTGTATTAATTGTGAATGGGAGTTCACTCATGATTTGGCTCTCTGTTTGTCTGTTATCGGTGTATAGGAATGCTTGTGACTTTTGCACATTGATTTTGTATCCGGAGACTTTGCCTTTTATTTTTAACCCATAAAGCATAAGATATTTTAATGAGAAAATGAAAACAAAACCAAACCTTAGATTCATGTTTCTATCTAATGATACTCAAAACTAGTTTTCCCTTGCCAATCCCTTTCCTAAC